GCCCAAGGGGGTCGGGCCTTTGGGTTGATTTGGGGGAGCCCCTGGCCCCCGGTTGTTTTTGTCATCTAGCCGAGGGCGCTGCTGATCGGGGTTGTGATGACATTTCTCCACCTCCTCGGCCTCAGTGTATCGGTCCCCCGCTGTAGGGCCCTTATGTAATCGCGGGGAGGTTCGATGATGAGGCTCCTTGAAAAGTTGCCGGGGCGGAGGACTGTTTGAAGGAGGGCCAGGAGGGTCCCATCGTCAGCGCCGTCAACTTTATCTGCCTCCGTCCTCCAGCGTTCTAAGAAGTCCCGAAGGGTCTCTTCCTTTCTTTGTCTCACTATCAGCAAGTGGGAGAAGTGTTTTCTTCACTGGCGCCTCCCTGCAAACTACGTCAGGAAACGTTGGGTGAGTTCTTGCCATGAATTGATGCAGCCTTCGGGCAATCAGTTGAACCATTCGTATGCTGGTCTCTCTAAGGTGGAGAGGAACCAACGGCACAAATATTCGTCTGATGCCCCCACCATCATCATATTGTTTTGATATCTGATGTAATGCTCCTGGGGATCTGTCTTTCCTTCATAGGGCCTGATGGGTTGCCCCCGGTATTTTTCCGGAATTTGGGCCGCCAATACCCTTGGGGTAAATGGCATCCTAGTTCGGAGTTGGATGACAGGTTCCCCGGAGCCCTCGGCCATTTTCTTTTGCATCTCCTCCATCTTGGCCAGCACGGTGGTGTATTTGGGGTCCGCCTGGGAGGCAGAAGCTGTTGTGTGTGCTTGACGGGCCTCCATCTCATCAAGGCAGTGTTGGAGGGCCTCAATGATTTCGTCCCTATGGTCCTTCGGGAGGGCCTCCGCCCCCTGCGAACGAACACGGGCCGAGTGGACCTGGTTGATTTGATGTCTTGCGTCATTGGCATGGAGTGGCGCCTTGCCTTTGTCCTGAGGGGGACGCCTCTCGTCTGCCCTTGAGACGGATCCCCTGCTCTCTTGGGGGTTTTGGGACACCTTTCCGCCGAGGTGGTCTTGGACCCCTCGGCGGTCTTGCGCTCCTCCGAGCCTCTCGAGGGCGGAGGTCCGAGGCCTTTCTTTGTTCGCACCGCGTTGGTCCCGAGATTGGACTTCCTGGGAGGCGGTGTCTTGAGCCACGACCCCTTTGTCGTCCCCAACCCGAGGGCTAGGGTTCACGAAGGGGCTGGGCACGGGAGAGGAATAGTGTTCTCCCCGATTTGTGGTTGAAGGGGCACCAGAGTGCCGAAGGCACCTGGGTTTTGGGTGAGCGTTTGGATGAAGGCAGAAAATGCCGATTGTACATCGATGGTGAGGATCGGAAGGCTCACTTGATTCTCGCTACGGTCTCTCCTTCGGGTTTCAATGCTGAGGTGGACATCGAGAGCATTTTGCTGAAGCTGAAGGCGCAGGTCAACAGCAGCCTGTTCCAATTCAGTGATGACCGCCCTCGGGAGCCTTGTTGGAGGCTCTGGGGGCGTTGACTTCACCGAGGGCCAGGTTGTTGTCGTCAAGGTTCTTGGACTGAGCACGAGTGGTTCTTCCCATTTTGGTAGGTGTTTTGAGCTGAAGGGGGGGGGTTTCTTACTTGATTGTTCGAAGCCTCTCAACGAGAGCACCAAATGATGGATAGTGTACCCGGGGGGTAGCTTATCCGAGGGGTTACTGCGGGGAGCAACTTAGAGAGAAGTCAGAGCAAATAAGTAAGAGAGAGTGAATTCGAATATATGAGTTATGTATTCAAGGCGTGGTTTACAATGGGGAAAGGGGCTGCTATTTATAGTAGCAATAAATGCTAGATAGGGGCACGTGTCAACAATCTGGTGGTCGAGGGGTCACCTCAACTGAGGTGGCACTCGCACTCGCATGTGGCCACATTAAATGCGGTGGTTGGATGCGACGTTTGTACTTGGTACGTTGATCCAGCGCATGTGGAGAGGAGATCCTTTCGAGGAAGGTGCCTTCGGCTGTAGATGACAGTCCGAAGGCTCTGCGTACCGGGGGCCTCATAGTGCCGAGGGCTCCAATTGCCGAGGGCTTGATTTTCAAGCCTTCTTTTCCCGCGATGTTGCTAAAACCAATTCTATTACTGATAGCCTTCGGCCATGGGGCCGAAGGCACCCCTTCATGCATCGTGGGCTGCTTAGAGCTCCATTCTGCTGGGCTTGGCCCGTTTTGGGCCTGTTGGGCCTGAATGTAATAGTGGAAGTATGTGGGCCAGGGGGCCTTGGGCCATATACTCCATCATATGTTATTAACTTGATATCTCTATACCAATGACTAGTGGAATATAGTCATCGGTTAATCCACATATTGGTATATTAATTATTAATGTCTCAAGTTAATAATATTAGACGAGGGACAATTATAATATTATGCTTATTAGAAAATGTAGCATTCCACAATTAAGTCACGTACTTAATTAGCTACTAAACATAATATTCAGGGACTAAATATTAATAAAGAAAACTAAAAATAGTAATTAACATAAAATGAGTTTGTAACTATTAATTAATGAACATTAAATATCCATTAATAAATCATAAATTACGATTGTCCCAGAGCATATTTTCAACATAGACTGACTTGAAAAAAACGGAGACAGAGCTCCTAGAAAAGCCAGATCGAAGCGTCTGGTCAAACTAACGTGGAATACCTAGAATGCGCAGGGGGCCACTACGGAAGCCAGGTCTTCATACGAGGGGATCCGTGAAATGTGCCTAAGTCCATAGGGCTCCCCGCCTAGACGGTAGGGGAGTCTGATGGCCGCGTTCACTTGACTTGGGTCACATGATTAGGATTAGCCGAACATGAGCATATCATCTCAATCATGCGGTATGAGCGAACCGTTCGAACCATCTAAACGAGGGACCATGACTGCTTCATTTGGAGATGATATTCATCTCGGTCCTTTAATCGGGTAAAGCGCTCGAGACGGGAATTTGCTGGTCTGCTCTAGTTTGGTCTGAACTGATCTGGTCTGGTCTGATAAATGCCTTCTCTCTGTGTATTTTATAACTATGGAAGTCTGGTCTAGTCTGATCTTATCCGGTGTGATCTAGAACTGAAAACTGTCCAAAATAAAACATGGATGGATGGAGTACTTCCTATATACTCCGTCCATTCTCCAATACTTCCTTATATTTTGGTCTAGTACTTCCTCCTTTTCATTTTGGGATGTTTTTTAATAGTTGTTTCCCTTTCCATTTTTAGAAAGTTTTTTTCAATAAATATACCATATACCCTCATTCTGTTTCATACTTTTTCATTCACTTTCCTACTTTTTTATTTAAACACAACCACCACATTTTTTGACATTACCCCTATTATTTTTCTCTAAAAACTTGTGCCAAACCTTATAGAAATAAGCAGGGGCGGGCAATCCGGTTTACGGTTCGGTTTTCTTCGGTTTCGGTTCCGTTTCGGTTTATTCGATTTGGGAGAATTTGTAACAAACTAAAACCATTTGTGGTTCGGTTTGGTTTCGGTTCAGTTTCAGTTCGGTTCGGTTTGAAGTTCGATTTATCACAGTCAAAATTATTAGGTTCAATTTAGTTTGATTTGATTCGATTTCTTATGTTTATTATTTTATTTGATCAAGTTCTATATTTTAGGATTAGAACATGAAAGTAGTAGTCCAATCATCTTCTTTTATTTATTATTTCAATAAAATGTAAAAGGAAATAAAAAATAGAAAAAGAACAATAACCCAGCTGGTTGCGAGGTTACCGTGTCTAGTGAGAGGTCTCGAGTTCGAAACCCGCTAGGCACACAAGGGTTTGAAACTCAATGGAGTGAGTTTCAGCCCTGATTACTCCAGGCCCTCCAGCCCCCCTCCCCCAGACGTCCCCTGGAGTAAAAAAAAGAAATAATAAAATATTATAAATACAAACTTCTAACATCTTTTTGATTACTAGAAAAAAGATTCACTTCTCACAAAACATAAATTTATAGTTGATTAGCATTTATAATATCACATAAAATATTCAAAGAAATCTAAATGAGTCAGTGATACAAATGTTGTAATATTCACAATTTTATTCAAAATTCAAATACATCGTGTCAAAAATATAAATGTAATTTGCTATTGTTATTGTCAAATATCTTTTCATACAGGTAATATACAATTCATAACAAATACAAATATGTCATATTAGCTAATTTTGTCATAATAAATATATGAAATGTGTAAAGTTAAAAACGAAATATGCTAAATTTGTATTTTACATGTCTAAATTATTTATTTATATCCTAAAGATGAAGAGTGAAAAAATACAAAGTACACACACACATATTAAAAGTTGTTCGATGTTCCTATTTTTTGGTTTTAAACCAAACTAAACCATTCGATTTGAGCAAATTGTTACCAAACGGTTTACATAAGTAAACCAAACCAAACAAAACCACTAATTTGCGGTTTGATTCAGTTGTAAAAGATGTAGTTCAAAACCATTTTGACCAACCCTAGGAATAAGTATTGAACTACGGAGTAGTCTTTTACATTACCCTATTATTTTTCCGTATCGTAAGGATTGGAGAAGTATCAGAGATACCGGTGGGCGTAGCTCAACTGGTAGCGAGGGAGTGCCACAAGGGTTAGGTCCCGGGTTCGAATCCCGGCAACTGCTATGAGAGGTTATTATGCTAAAAATGCATATGGTCTCTGCAAGTACCGAGAACAAAACTCCACTCTCTATCTGTCAGATTGTGATTATAGTGCAATTTACATCCTCCCAACCTACCGTGTCGTCGGTGGTGGAGGCCCTCGGATGGGGTGTCATCCCTGAAGAAGTATCGGATATGTATTAAATTATTAACCATGCTTGATGTACCCACCCTTATATCCACCATGTTTGTAAAGACTTTTTTGTTGGTTCACAGACAATATTTTGTTTGTGCAAAATATTGCTTGTGAATGGATGTTCAACGTAAAAAAGGGTTTCACAAAAGAGTACAAAAGTGGGTATAAAAGTGGTACAAAATTTACAAACCTCATTTTTGTTAAATTATTAATATTGTGATTTTTTCCCGTACTAAGCGCAGTCCCAGATTGCCTTACATCGCATTACGCCTGTAACATTCCCTGATTACCCACGAGCTTCGCTACGCTCAGGTATCCTACAAAGAATTCACCGTTCTTCCACATACGTGCTCAGCTAATTTCGACGCTCCGTCCCCAGTCTTGGTACTGCCTCTACTTTCAAAATTATCAGGTATATTATGTGTTTTGATTCAACCAATCAACAAGATTTGAAACACTATAGATGTTCTTTATCAATTATGAACTTCTAGTCTCTCAAAAGCTTGACGTTGTCGTAGATGTTCATGAAACGCCTCCCTATCTTGTTTTTATGACTGAAATAAGAATTTCTTTTGCTATAATTCTTCAATGAGTTTTTGTCACTTGTAGTCCTCTGAATATTATGACTATGTTTGCGTTTGCTTCAGCTTATCAAAAATGATTTATTTTAAGAGATTATTGGAAAAGTGCTTTATAGTAAAAGTAGGTAGTGTTTGTAAATAGAAAAGATTTTAATTATAGGCTATGTTTCGCATGATGTAATGTAATGCAATGGAATGAAGTGCGTAATGCAATAGAAAATGTAATGTAATGGAATGAAGTCTCTATTTCATTACTATGTTTGGTTCCTTAAGTAACGACAACTTTGAAATCTAATTAACATTACATAATGTTTGTTTATCTACATGTAGAATTAGACTATGTAATCAATTGTTTACATTTTAAAGTTATCATCGCTGATACATTAAAATGATTCTCTATTAAACATCATTCATTCGTGAATTGTTGAACCATATATGTGTGTGTGTGTGTGAGTAATATTCCGGTCAGGAACTTTCTGACCGGAGGGTCATTGGTCCATTGGTCCCTACTGCAAGTTTGCTGGTCTGCCAATACCTCCGCAATAGTTTTGGAAATTGGATTGAGTTCTAATTTGGAAGAAGATCGGTATTAGTTTCTTGGTAAATTTTACCCGGCATTTAAAAAAAGAGACAATTGAGCAAGACAATTATTTTCATTAGTCAATTTTCTAATAGAATTAAGACTTCATATAATCATATGAATGGGGGAATATGAAGGGGAGCCTCGACGCACTGATTAAGGTGTTGTTCTGTGACCGAGCCAGGTTAAAGTCTTGGGAGCGGCCTTTTGTCAAATTTTGACAGGGGCAAGGCTTGCATGGTGGGACCCTTCCCCGTACCCTCGCCTTGCGAGTATGATTTCGTGCGCCGGGCTGCCCCTTTTATTTAATTGGGGATAATGAAGAACAAATTTAAGAGTCAGAGTGAAGACACCATGATTGTTCCTGAAGTAGCAATTGGAACATGGAAACAACTAGTTGTACGAATAGTGGCACGGTAATGACATGAAATATAGTTATGGAGTAAAGAAAAAATACGTATTCTTCGATGATATGCTCAATAGTTGATAATAGAAATATCTAAAGACTAATTTGACAAGTAAAACTTAAGAGAATTGTACCAGATAAATTAAACTTAGCAACGCAGCACGATGGTGACTACCAAGATAAGTTGGTGGGTTGATTTATAAGTTACCCAACTTGATCAATGTTGGACCTAATTAAAAGGAAGAGAAGATGCAATATTTTTTTCAGGGTGAGCATGATGAGCTCCACCATGTGGTGCCCATGCTGGCAAATATGGCGGCAAACATGGCGGCAAACATAACCGCAATGAGCGAACAATTTCGATCCAGAGGAAGATCACAATCACAGCATTCGCGATTATCGCATTGTCCGGCTTCTTACAGTTCACAGATGCGAACTAAGTCTTCTGGTGCATCGCGAAGTGCGCAGGTTCAGTCGCGAACTTCCTCTCTCAGTTCGAAATCGAAGGTGTCTTCACCAGTCGCTCCTAATCGTTCCAGTTCTCCGGGGCAACTTGTTCCTCATAGATCCTCGTCGCAAGTCGGCTACCTCGTCAGTTCGCAGAAATCTTCGCAGTCGCGAACTTCCTCTCTCAGTTCGCAATCGCGAACTTTATCATCAGCCAGAAGTTCACGACCAAGTCTGACGCGATCGAGAGAAGAAGCTTTCTGTTCGCAGACGTCATCGCAAACGGCTTCAGCATCATCACGAAGAGTAGTTTCCAGTTCTCAGGTGTCGTCTCAGTCGCTGACATCGTTTCATCTGTCCCAGAGTTCAACGCTATCATATATTTCCAGTTCGCAGGGGTCTTTGCTAGCTGCTTCTCACAGCTTGTCATCCTTGGTTGCTTCGAATCTGCCTGAGCGGGAGGAAAATGGAATTCGTTTGAGAAAAGTGAAAGAGCAATTGTCAAAGCAATTGGAGGATCAGGTAAAAATCACAGATAAAACAGAGAGTATTCAAGCACTTGAGTGGAAATCCGATATTAGTGTGATGAACGCTAGGCCTGATGTTTTTGTATCTATAACTGAGGCCAATCCCATAATGGATCAGTCACAACTCTTTCTAGTAAGGACAGGAACTGGTGCATTATCACCTACAACTGTGTCGCTGAAACCGGGGCAGCAGGTTATTTCTGGAGTTCCTAATGGTGAAGGTTCTAAGGAGTTGATTGCCAGTATGCCACTATTAGAATTGCATGCTGATAAAGAGAAGAAAGCAGTAGTAGCTGCCGATTATGAAACCGTTGCATCTCTCCTGGCTGTTGAACCTATTCAACAACTCTTAGCTATTGGGATCACAGAGGGTAGGCTGAAGGTCGTTGGAAGGAACAATATTGAAACCTACTCACATGTTATGCCAACTCACTTTCAAAAGCTGCTTTGCTTGAAAGGACAGTTGTTGAAGCTGCAGAGGATCCATTTGCAAGAATTAAAGCAACAACACCATTAAGAAAGCTGTTGTCGATTGAACGCAGCCCTCCAAATGATGAATTTCGTGAGCAGGCTACCTGGGCTTTAGGAAAGGTTTCTTGTGATGCCCCAAGTTGTAGCGATCAAGGTCTTGGTCATGGTGCAATACTACCATTGCTAGTTCAGTCAAATGAGCATTCAGAGCTTTTTATGTTGACAAATTCTACAGGGACTTTATCAAACTTATGGCGATGCAGGCCACCCACTCCGTTTGCCCTGGTCAAAGGTGTATTGTCAGTTTATCAGCCATTCATCAATATGAAAGAGGAAGAAGTTTGGACTCAAGTTTGCTGGAGAATACCTAATATCACGGCTGGGAGTGAAATTGGATTTGAAGAAGTTTTAAGAATACCTAAACTTGATTGGTCGTCTGGGCTTATAAAATTGAAAGGCACTGATAAAGTAGAGTCAGTTGACCTTAAACTTCCTGGATCATTTGGAGATATTATTACAGCACCAAATGTTAGTGATATGAAAAGCAATGAACTCTGTTCTTTTTTCATACTGACAAACCCCAGCGAGTTACAATTTTATGAGAACATTGGTTGGTCTACCAGGAAACCTGAGCAAGAGAACAATCATTATGTTCTCCAGAGTGACAGCATACCTCTTTCTGAAGAGAATCTGGTTAAACCGGGCGGTGGACAACTTTGTTCAAAAGGGGTGATGAAGGGTCAAGTAATGAAGATCATGGTCCAGAAATCCGGAATGTACTGGTAAGGAAGAGGCGCAAGGATGAAGATAAAGCTGAAACTCCAGGCCTGTTCCTATCACCCATCTTGAGGACAAGGTGGTTGTTTAAGGGGGGAGATATGATAGGAACCGGGCATATTAGCATTAGTACAGTAATAATAATAATAGAATTCTAGTAAATAATTGTGATAGTATAAAATAAGGCTTCTGGGCCAGGTGAGTCATGAGTTGGGCAGGCAGAAATTGGGATTGGGAATTGGGAGAGTGAGGCCTCTCGAAGAGTCCCAACTGTAGTTCCGTTTTCAGCACTTCATATCAATCTACGTTAATTTTCTGTTTCCAAATCTGGTTTCTATCATTTTCCCACTCCACGCGTGCACCATGAGGCACGCTTATCACCTCTGCGCCATGAAAATAGGTCGTGACGATGAATATACAACTGGTTATTATGTGAGGCCATAACCTTAATAAAATTCTAATAAAAATTAATATTTTAGCCCATTATACTAATAACAACCCTAACAAAAGTGAATAATGACACAAAGCCATAACACGACCACATGAAGTTAAAGCTGCTGAAGTGCAAGAAAAGGCTGAGCGACAAACGACAGAACTACAAACGACAAAGGGGGAACTCGTTGACTTCTTCCAACTACAAAAGGTATAACTACCCTCTTTAATGCTCTGTATTAATGAAGAAAACTTCAGTTTATACTTTATACAGTTGTAGTTTATGAAAAACAGTATATGAATATATGATTCCTGAAAATGTGAACTTCATTTAATACAAAATCTGGAATGTGGACTTCATTCAATAGAAAAATTTCATGTGGTTCGAGTGCTAACTGTTAAACACTTAAACATTTAAAAAACACCCAGTAAAGCTTTATAGCTGGTTAACTACTGGCTTACCTTTTAACTGCTCACACGGCTGCACACATGACATTTTTTTCTTTTTTGATCAACCCATCAATATTAGCCTCCTCTTTTTTCCATGGAGCCTCCAAGCACCCATCTTCTGATAACATAGGGCTGGATTGCCTTCACAAAACCTTCAGCTGCCAAGGTCCCAAGGTCCCAAGGTCCACTGTCTGGACAACAAAGAAGGTGGCTTCCTTCTACTTATGTTGATTAAGTCAACTGTATTCTCCCGGAGGAAAGTATAGTCTGAGGCTATCTACATTCGAACCATTTGGGAGCGGTCTATAAAAAAGGATGACACCCCATCCCGAGTGCCCCCAGAACCAACCGGACAGTTATCTGGGAGTAGTCTATGTCATTGTTAGCAACCCACTACTCACATAGATGAGGAAACTGAAATTCCGAGAGGCTCAAACCATGAAGCTTGAAGCCCATACCTATCGCTGCTATTAGGCACGAATTCACCTAGCTCTTCCATAAAACTGAAGGCTTCACCTAAGAAATTAATATAGTTGAAAACGATCTAATAATCCAAAGAGCTTCATCGCTATTAATGGTGGATGACTTTTAACTGGATCAGGTTTCAGCGCCAGAGGACATAGAGATCTCAAAGGATTTAAAGCTCGGTGGAGCTGCCCCGAGCTTGAAGATGACGCTTCATATGTTGCTCTAACACAAAGGTGGGAGCAGTGGTGCACAGAGAGGCTTCCACTCAGATATGGCTGCCTCACCCTGATAGGTAACAGAAGAATCCAAGTAGAAAGTAGTACGTAGTAGTTTATTACTGAAGGTTTAGTGCGGAAATACAAAAAGTAACGAAAGGTTTGAGACTCTTCGAGTGGCCTCACACTCCCAATTTCCCAGTTCCTATTCCAAATTCTGCCCCCCATCTACTCACCACTCACCTTTATTTATTCTATTTCTAATGGGCCAGCCCACTTCTAATAAGTTATAGGGCCTAAACCCTATTATTGAACAAAACTAAAATGACTTAATAAGGCTCTAATTATTGGTAGTGTTCAGGTCCCTAACATCACTCCCCCCTTGAACTTCCACCTTGTCCTCAAGGTGGATGATAAGAGACTGATTTTGCATTAGGTTCCAGCAAGTTTTCAGCTTCATCCCGTTCATATAACTGATCTTCTGTGCCCTTCTCTTCTTCTGGCTCTTCCATCAAGATAAATTGATAATGTTTCATTCCACAAACATGCTCTTTGCCCCATTTGTTTCCACATTTGAAGCATAAGCCCTTCTTGCTTCTTTCTTCTAAGTCCGCTTGTGTCAACCTTTGGCCACCTTCCCATGTCTTATTCGGTTTTGGCGATTCCTCCAGTTTGTCTTTGAAAGTGTTCTCTCCGGAGTTAAAGCAGGTGTTCTTCCCTTTGTTGCTTCTACCCAGTTCCAGGGCCTAACCATTTTTCCTCCATGTTCCTTCCAGCCTGTGTTGTCTTCTTCTTTATTTTTTTTTTCTGTCCACACCTTGTTCTTCTGTTCCAACAACAAAGCCTTGTCCATCAGTTCAGTTAACCCACTTAACCCACTGGTCTGGTGCAACTTCAGTTCCGTGCTAATTTCTTTTTTAAGGCCATTGAGAAACACTCCTTTTAACATCCCTTGGTCAGCAAGTTTGAGAGGAGCTACAACCATTTCAGAGTGATCCCGGTATTCCATTACAGAATCAGTTTGCCTAATACTGAGCATAGGACCAAACGGATTCTGCACTAAGGCAGGTTGAAAACGCCGGATCAAAGCATCTTTGAAGTTAACCCAAGAATGGTCATCAGTCTGTTCATCCCACCATTGGTACCAGTTCAGAGCTTTTCCGGCCATGGCTATCAAGATTATTTCTACTGTATCCTCTTCTGCCACATGGTTGAGTTTGAAATAGTGCTCAACCCTAATCAGCCATCCATAAGCATCGTCTCCACTAAAAAGTGGTAAATCAACCTTTCTTCCAGTATATACACGGTCGCTGATTCTCTTCTGATAAGGGCTGCGTGAAACTGAGTGAGTTTCATGAGATTTACCTTCGGAACTAGAGGAGCTCACGCTTGCTGAAGTAAGGCGACGACGGTTTGTGGTTGATCGTCCTCTTCTCTTATGGCGGTCACCCTGTAACATTATATTCTTCAATTCGGCCACGGTCTTGCGCAAGTCAAGCAGTTCATTCACGGCACTTGTCACTTCCGCTAGGGTGTTTTCCAGATTTTCCACACGTTGCTCCATTCTCGATCGGGTCAAGACCATGCGCAGGTAAGGCTATCGTCAATTTCTTTGATACCAATGATAGGTAACAGAAGAATCCAAGTAGAAAGTAGTACGTAGTAGTTTATTACTGAAGGTTTAGTGCGGAAATACAGAAAGCAACGAAAGGTTTGAGACTCTTCGAGTGGCCTCACACTCCCAATTTCCCAGTTCCTATTCCAAATTCTGCCCCCCATCTACTCGCCACTCACCCTTATTTATTCTATTTCTAATGGGCCAGCCCACTTCTAATAAGTTATAGGGCCTAAACCCTATTATTGAACAAAACTAAAATGACTCAATAAGGCTCTAATTATTGGTAGTGTTCAGGTCCCTGACACACCCTTTTAGAAGACAAAGCTTCTCCAGAGAGAGGGAATGAGCTAACGGCGAGCCCTCACAGATTTTTAAAGGTCTTATTCTCTACAGTAGTAGATGGATGAGCTGTTGCAAAGGAATGAGAAAAAGTTGACAAATAAAACCACATGTACAAACTACAACCACATAAGCGGTTAACGGGCTAACCGGTTTCTAACCCCCGAAAAAGATTTATTGATGTTTTTTTGAAGTTTGGGATTTGATTGAGTGTTAATATAATACGAGGGCTTCATTTCCGTTTTTGCAATAATACGGGGGCATATATGACAGCTTTCTTTAATATAAAAAGTCGTAATAGTTATAATAGTAATAGTTTCTATAAAATTACATTTCCTTCAAATATTTGTGTAACTATCATTGCCTCAAAAATTAGTTGCCTTGTCTTTTTACAGTGTAGGCCTCCATTTGTAATCCCATATTTCAACATGGACTACATTTAAAAATTTGGAACTCACCACTTTCTTGCCTTTTATTGGTGTTCAGGCAGTTGAAGGTGTGAATCTACACAATAATCCAACTGCAAAGATGCCCATGACAATGAGACATAAGGGTAAACTGGATTTGATTATTTTTTCTCAACAAAGACTTAATAAGAATATCAAGACAATAATCCAACGGCTAAGTTTTATTTTATGATGATTCAGGTGTTACAAAAAGAAAACTGGTTGACGGTGGGAGTGCAAGTGCGGATAAGACGGAAAGTATTTCTGATGTTGATGATAGTGAAGTACATCACAAACAATAAACATAGTATTTTTTTTTCTTTTTTTCAAGGAAAAGAAAAAAAATCTTTTGGACCTGATTAGTTTCCGTAAAACCTTCATTGGCATGTCTGTCTGATGCTATCGGTCATATGTTTGCGCGGTTGTATACTTGTATTTAATTTCCCTTTATGCTTTTCATGTTCTTCTGCATGTTCGTTTAAATTGGTTTCATGTTAAATTTCACTTCGTTTTTGTTTTGAAGGTTGTTGGATACCTTAACACCAAAGCGGAGAGATATTACAAGAAGATTATATGGGAAAAAATAAACCAGCAGTCTCCCGTGCATATGGTATAATGCGCCTCCCCAGTATTTCTACCAGTACTTTTAATGAGTCTTTAAGTTATAACTCCATTGTAACATAAAAACCTTTAAAATACTTATATAGATATTAAATATAGAGATTAATGAAACTGGAGTGGAAAAGTGAAACTGTAAAGATTGAGAATAAGAAGCCCCAATATGTACTAATCAATCTGGGATTACTACAACAACAACATCCAAGCCTTAGTCCCAAAAGATATTGGGGTCGGCTAACATGAATCGATACATGATATCACCACCAAAAGGAAAAGAAAGAAAATAAAGATAAAAAAGATAAGCTATTATTAAAAGATAATATAAAAAGAGATGAATATACATAAAAATGATAAAATAAAAAGGATACAAATAATGCTTATATATAAGGATAAAAAACAAGGAAAAAAAGATGAGGGGAAAAGATGATACGAGATCACTCCTCCACATGAATACCCGCCCTCCACTTAGATCTTTCCAAAGTCATGCCCTCATCCAACCCCAGAAGAAGCATATCACTTCGAACTCCCCTAACCCACGTCTGTTTGGGTCTTCCTCTCCCTCTCTTCCTTGCCTCTTCTCCACACATCTCAACTCGTCTGGGATTACTATATTTCTATAATTAAATACATAATTTGGCTCCGTGTAGGCATTTTGCTGCAGCATAGTAGTATATCTCTGCTAGAACATCTTGAAAAAGAACAATCTTTTCTTATTACTTTGACAATTTGGGTCTAGAATTTAATGGAACAATATGTTACTATGTATTTACATGGGTCAGTTATTGCAGGCACAAGCAAAGGTGTGGAAGAAAGAAACTGAAGCCAAGAAAGATAAATCTAAGAAAGGAACTGCCAATAACACCAATGCAGTAGAGGGAGAGGTAATATTTGCATATTAAATGGAATAACCCCCCCCCCCCCCCCCCCCCCAAACCCTTCAATTGCATAATTTTCTGAGCACATTTTGGGTTAAACTGTGTTTTTGAAGCTGTCATTTGTGATTAGAACTGCATTTGTGAGCTGAAAAGAAGCTTTATTTGAGTACTTTATACAATAAAACAGATGTGCTGGTGAAATTGAAATCATTCAAGCCGTAGTCTCAAAAGATTTTGAGGTCGGGTATCACATCCATACATGATATCAGAGCCAAAAAGAAAAGAAAGATGAGAAAATAAAAAGATAAGGTAAAGATAAAAAGGATAAGATAAAGATAAAAAGGATAAGATAAAGATAAAGAGGATAACAATTTTATATATATGTGTGTGTATGTGTAAGAAACTGAAGCCCAGAAAGATAAATCTAAGAAAGGAACTGCTAATAACACTAATGCAGTAGAGAGAGGCAATATTTGCATATCAAATGGAATACCCCCCCCAAAACCCTTCAACTGCATTATTTTCTGAGCACATGTTGGGTTAAACTGTGATTTTGAAGCTGTGATGTGAAAAAAGCTGATAGTAGGCTAGTACCTACTAGTAGCTGTCATATATAGGGAACTCTACAGTCCTCCCTACGCTAGTACGAACACTTGTAGTACAAGCCTCATACATATTCATCGATGCTCATATACTTATGTGATATGCCTTTTCTAGTTAAGTCCCACCAAAGGATTTCTCGAGGTATTTATCATATGCCTTTTCTAAGTCAATGAACATCAAATGCATATCAAGATCCTTTTTAGTGTCTCTATACTTCTCCACAACTTGGCGAAGAAGGTGAATGACCTCAGTTGTTGAGCGATCAGACACAAAATTGAAGTGATTTTGTGAAATTTTCACTCCTGAATTCTTGCTCAATCACTCGCTCTCAAAGTTTCGTGGCATGACTCATAAGTTTAATCCCTCAATAGTTGGCATATTTGGTTCTTTCTCCAAATCTTGTTCATGTTAACCACTCGAAGCCTCTCTTTTCCAAACTTCTCCAAACCTGGATCAATATGCTATCGGGAGCCACTGCTTTCTTCTGGCCCATCTTTCTCAGAGCTTTTAGTAAGCATATTAATTCAAAAAAATATTTTCAAGAGTTGAAAAAATGGCACATAGTGTGCATTCGAGACACATATGGCACGTCTTACACACCACACCGCCAAAGTCCTTGGTGGGTGGCCTGTGTTAAAGCATTGTTTGAATGTACCCAGCTTTGGAAGCTTCTTCACTGTGCTAAATAACTTTTACACCATACCAGACGTAGTTGGGTGTGCATTTCAGTTTTGATGCATTATATTACATTTTGGTCCATGCCTTTTGACAGTTATGTATATTGTTTGGTTTTGCAGATACGAAGCTCAATAATCAATTTTGCTGCCCTGAATCAACTAAATGATGAATTGGTATTGTTTAAATGGTTATCATATTATCACTCATGAATCTTCCCCATCTCCCTTTTTATTTTATTTTAATTTATCCTTGATTCCCCGTTATGCCATTCCTTGAATAACTCCATGTGCCTTCAAATATAAAATTTTCATGAGTCGAGTTTGGGATTATTAAATAGGACCGACTGACTGTTTACTAGCATGCATGGAAAATCCTCTTGGGGAAAATACTACAAAGAATCTTGTACTCCCTTAATCCTAAAATGTAAGATACACATGAGTTTAGTGTTATCAACTATATGTGATTATAACTTCATTTAACGCTTCTAGCAACCAGACTTTGGGGAGCATACTATCAGGGACATGGTGCATCATTTTTTTTCTGGGTTTGGCTAGGTTACTAAAAAGCAGGGATAGTTTTTGTTTTACAATTGTAACCCCTGAAAAGTGAATAGATAGATAAATGACTAAAGCGCAAAAGTAAGAAAAATAGTAGAATTCAAATTAGAAAAGCATTCATAATTTTTGGGACAATAAAAAAGTAAATTCTATCTTATAAAATGGGATAGAGAGCATGTGTTTTTGTATATCAGTGTGAACCTAATAGGTTTACGAGGCTGATTTTTCATTCTTCTGAGAGTTTTACTTGCATTATTATGTTCTTCAATTATCGATAAATGCCATTTTATGTGCTGTATTCATGTGCTAAACGTTAATGCAGAACCAAGATCTTGGAGAAGCGGTAGGAGGAGGTGCTGGACCTTCGTCCCCTAAAAACAGTAGTAGTTCAGATGCAAAATTCCTAATAGTTCATGCACCCAATGATACGTATTCTGATTACCTACATGTAGAGGACCAATCTTGTGAAGAAGAAGATGATGCATTGACAAATAAGAACTCCGTGTTGCTTGATGAATATGACTGCATATTATGATTAGGCCAATTGAGGAAGAGCTTGATATCTCATTAAGAGCATTCACAAATCCACAATAACGGTGTCAAGTTCTTAGTTCAAAATGAGTCACATATTGTTGTATCATGGACAAACTTATACTCCCTCCATCTCAAATTGATGGTCCTATACCTTTTGGACTCAAATATGAAGAAAAAATGGTAGAAGGACCATATAACCTTACTTTTATGTACTGTTCACTCCTTTATTGTTATTGTTCAATAAAAAGAAGGGACATAAATGGTAGTCTGCCTTAATTTCTTTACAAAAAAGGGAAAGGTGACTATCATATTTCGGGACACCCCAAATAGAAAATACAGGATCATAATTTTGGGACGGAGGTAGTACTTCCTCCTTCATTAGTCTTGTTTTGTAAGATACATTTTTCTTTAGGGTCGTCCCAAAAATATGCAACACTTTCAGAGAGCTGTCCTTGAAATCCTTGAGGTTAAGGAGATCCATGTGTGAAAGTCCTCGTACGATTTAAGAGATCCGGTAAATCCTGAACTATTTGCAAGGGCATGTTTGTCAAGGCAGTTCCTTGTGTTGTTTTTGCTCAAGTCCGTGAAGACGAAATGATTAGTGGATTTTGATTTTTGAAAATCCCAAACGAGGTTGTATCAAGTATTGGGGTAGGGATTTCCTGAATCAGTATGAATTATGGTGCTTGGTGTCCTATCTTGTCTTTATCCCCTACAATGTTATTGATATGTGCTTTAATTGTTTGATTAAATGATCCAATACTTGCAAACTCATGCTTTACAGACACGTTGAAGTGTCCATGTACGACTTTGTTAATCAAATGAGTATCACAAATGTAAACGACAGACAGGCGGTCCAATTACTGTACAACGCGTCTCGTCCTAGCCAGTTATTTTGGCCGTCTTCTCTGACCAACTCCGTGCTCTTGCTCGCAGCTCCAAATGACAACCGTTTACCTTTGATAGCAGCCAATCGGCGAGTCCTCGGTAACCCAAGAGTTCCCGTTAACCCTCCTTTCATCTTCATTCGGTCTTCCATGGGCCCCTGGGCCCCTTAAACAGCGTCTGGCACTACCAGGGAACGAACGAGCACATGTAGAACCTATTTACAATCGGTCTAAACTCCGGCGCTTTGGCAAGAATGACAGTCACTGCAAGCGCCAAAAGGAGTGGGGTGACGACCATTAGGTAGAGCTCCAATACCAGATAGGTCCTTGGTTCGACCTCCGCTTCATTGGTGGGTACTTGTTTGGGTCAACTAAGCCGGAGCTTAATCAAAGCTTTCACCATAGCTAGTCTAGGGAGTAATCACACCCCACAGACGTAGATCCTCACACCAGTATAGTTGGGAGCCAAGTTGGGAGGACCATCTGTACTAGGTTGTCGTTATGCTCACAAACTAAGAGAAAGTAGGAGAGAAGATCATCAGAAAAATGGGAATCGAGCTAACCTTCGTTTTTGGGTATAGAGCAACAATAAGCTTCAATCCACGCTCGTAGTTCGTCCTCCGTCGCCGGTCTCCTTGTTCGACCTTCGTTCACAATCTTCAGGGACCCCCTCACACTTCTGCATAGCTACTAACCTGAGGCAACAGACTCGACTGCCAGAATATAGCACCTATGTCTAACTTTAGACAGAACCGCTAAGCCAAGAGTGTTGGGAACACTCTTAGACTTGAGCAAAATCAGCCTTAACGGAAGCGTAGGCTGCGTAGTAAGAGAGCCCTTGCACAGAATCCTTCAACACTTTAAAAAGATTCTATATTACTAACAAGATTTTCCTAATGATGAGGAGCCATTTAACGGAAAACTGTACGAAAATGCGCATTGAATGCACATTTAATGTTATCCATTCGTTGATTGACCACATTATCCAGGAGAATAATATTTAATACTCTTTAAATAGTAAGTTGACAGAAATATTGGAACTGACACGATAAGTCTACATGACATGCATTTAATGAATTTGCCTTCTACACCCTAACGGGAAGACCACTCTCAGTATAAAGATACACTCAGAAGGACTGAACGACTACTGACTTTGAAATCCAAACGTAAAAATTCTTGAGAGATAAACACTACATTGAACAAAAGAATTCAAACAAGAGATCGGAAGATTTACTTTTCAAATCCAACGTCCAAATCTCAACTCAAGTTCGTCCTTGTTCTTCAACTACTCCGAAAGATTCAATAACTTATCTTTCATGTAGAACGTTGGAGGAAAACCTTTTGCTTCTTCAAAAGATATCTTCTTTCAAAAGAAGGGCGTCAAACTAATCAGAGTAAAGTGGAGATACTTCAAGCAAGCTCGGTGAAAGGCCAGTCATCAGGAAGCAAAGATTGCAGCCCGGGTGACAAGGACACTACACTTGAAGAAGACATGGAGAACTTCTTAAGTGCTAGGGATCTAAGTAATGTAATCAATTTACAAGTATCTTAGTATAACATTGGACAAAAGGAACACGTTGTTCCTTGAACCACTATCAGTGGTGTCATTTACTTATTGTTTTTACTTTTGGCACTTATGAATCTAAGAGCTTGACTTTGTGTTCAACAAATCTTGCTCTAAGAGAAGTAGAAAGGAGTTCCGCCTTAGATTGTTTGTAAGGCTACCCGACTAGAACTACCAATTCCGCTGCATGCCTATTCTGACCAGAATAGTTCCAGTTATGTGAGATAAACAAGTTTTGCCTCGCAAAGATACGAGAAACGAAGAATAGTCTATTCACCATCCCTCTAGGCTATTTCTCTGATATTAACCAGGACCAACAGGTATCCACTTGCTTATTTCCTTTGATATTATCTCTCTATATCATGGATAACACACTTTTCAAGAATCTTATATCATGGAGAATCCAGATGCAAGCAAATTTTTGTGACCTACATGATGAGATGTGGAATGTCTTGTCCAATGGACCTGTTGAGGTCATGAAAATAAACCCTGCGTATGTCGCTGGAGGGACTGAGCCAAAAATGATATGAAAACCAAGGCATGAGTGGAACCCTGAAGAAAGGAAGAAGTTCAACCTTGACAACATGGCCAAGGATATTCTTTACAAGGCTATTGATGACGACTACTTCACTAGAATCAAGAACTGCACCATAAGTAACGAGGTATGGGATACTCTAATACTGATTGTGTAATACTTGATATTTAATTTAAACGGATTAATAGTACTACTCATACCAACAGAGGTGCATCTCCTTTTAAGGGAGCTCATCATCCAAGAACTCCAAAGTTAAGCGTGCTTCCACGGGAATAGTCTTGGGATGGGTGACCCCTTGGGAAGTTTCTCAAGGCGCGCACGAGTGAGGACAAAGTGCACGGTAAAGGCTCGTGGTGGTTTGTGAGGACAGAACTAGAGGTCTGGAGTAACTACCTCGGGTCCTGCGGGGCCGAGGTGTTACAGATTGGTGCAGGTGATGAGCATGAAATGGACAACAAGTTGATCATTGCAATGAAGAAGTTTGAAAACTTCAAACTTCTACCAGGGAGTGCATACAAGAAATGCAAGCAAGACTGCTCAATCTCACAAGTGACATCTCAGAATTAGGCAAAGAGAAGACTCCCAAAGAAACCAACTTGAAGATTCTTAGAGCCCTTACCTCACAATGGAAGATGAAAGCCACATTGATGAGGGACCACAATATAGAAAAGGTCTTCTCTGACCTCTAAGTCTTTTGAGTTCGAGACGAAGGAGAGAAAAGAAGAAGAACCAGAAGAAAAAACTATTGCCATGACAACAATCACTTCTCACGTAATGATTTTAACCCTTATGTAATGATTAAGCTTATGTGCCAGACCATGAAACTTCGGGAGCGAGTGGTGGAGCAAAGACTTCGTAAAAGTGTGTAAATTTTGGAGAGTCAATTTGGTTTTATGCCTGGACGCTCAACAAATGAGACCATTCACCTTTTTAGACAATTTGTGGAGAAGTATAGAGACACTACAAAGGATCTGCATTTGGTTTTCATCGAATTAGAAAAGGCATATGATAGGGTATCTTGAGAAGCCCTTAGGTGGGCCTCTCGAGAAGACCCCCTGGGAAGTTTCTCAAGGCACGCACGAGTGAGGACAAAGTGCGCGGTAAAGGCTCGTGGTGGTTTGTGAGGACAGTACTAGAGGTCTGGAGTAACTACCTTGGGTCCTGTGGGGCCGAGGTGTTATGAATTGGTGCAGGTGATGGGTAGGAAATGGACAACAAGTTGACCATTGCCATGAAGAAGTTTGAAGACTTCAAACTTCTACCAGAGAGTGCATACAAGAAATGCAAGCAAGACTGCTCAATCTCACAAGTGACATCTCAGAATTAGGCAAAGAGAAGACTCCCAAAGAAACCAACTTGAAGATTCTTAGAGCCCTTACCTCACAATGGAAGATGAAAGCCACATTGATGAGGGACCACAGAGACCTTAGGGACCACAAGATATAAAAGGTCTTCTCTGACCTCTAAGTCTTTTGAGTTCGAGACGAAGGAGAGAAAAGAAGAAGAACCAAAAGAAAAAACTATTGCCTTGACAACAATCACTTCTCACGTAATGATTTTAACCCTTATGTAATGATTAAGCTTATGTGTGAGACCATGAAACTTTGGGATCGAGTGGTGGAGCAAAGACTTCGTAAAAGTGTGTAACTTTTGAAGAATCAATTTGGTTTTATGCCTGGACGCTCAACAAGTGAGGCCATTCACCTTTTTAGACAAGTTGTGGAGAAGTATAGAGACACTACAAAGGATCTGCATTTGGTTTTCATCGAATTAGAAAAGGCATATGATAGGGTATCTCGAGAAGCCCTTTGGTGGGCCTTAACTAGAAAAGACATATTACGTAAGTATATCAATATCATCATGGATATGTATGATACTTGTACTACAAGTGTCCGAACTAGTGTACGGAGGACCGCAAAGTTCACTATTACTATCGGAGTGCACCAAGGATCTACTCTGAGTCCTTTCTTATTTGTTATAGTCATGGATGAACTTACGAAGTCAATTCAAGAAGATATACCGTGGTGCATGAGGTTTGACGATGATATTGTATTGATTGATGAGACACAATCCAGTGTTAAAGCAAAGTTAGAAGTATGAAAACGAACATTGGAGATCAAGGGTGTCAGACTGAGCCGAAGCAAGACTGGTTATATGGAGTGCAAGTTTGGTGGAGGTAGAAGTAATAGCAACAGTGGGATTACTCTTGAGGGTAAGGAGATACCAGTGTGTGATATGTTCCGTTACTTGGGCTCCATAATTCAGAAGGATGGTGAATTAGATGGAGATGTATGCCATAGAATCAGAGCTGGGTGGATGAAATGAAAGAGTGCTTCAGGACTTCTCTACGATGAAGGTATGCCGTTTAGACTGAAAGGTAAATTTTATCGAACATCAATTAGGCATGTATTAATGTATGACGTAGAGTGTTGGTCGGTGAAGCAATGCCACATTCAAAAGATGAGTGTAGTAGAGATGCGTATGTTGCGTTAGATGTGTGGACATACCAGAAAAGACCGTTTGAGGAATGAGATAATCAGACAAAAGTTGGGAGTAGCACCTATAGAAGATAAGATGAAGGAGTCTTGTTTGCGGTGGTTTGGGCATGTGCGTAGAAGACCAAGTGATGCATCTGTTAGACGACTTGAGGGGTTGGGAGAAGAGGCATGGAAGAGAGGGAGGGGAGGACCCAAACAGACTTGGATTAGAGGATTCAGAACTGATATGCGTCTTCTTGGGTTGGATGAGAGTATGACTTTGGAGAGA